GTTAGATGTTAGGGGTTAGAGCTTAGGGCCAGGGTTTGAGTTCGGGTTTGGGTTAGGGTTGGGGTTTAGGGCTTGGGTTAGTGCCAGGGTGAGGGTGAGGGTAAGGGCTTGTGTGAGGGTTAGGGTGTGGATTAGGAATAGTGTTAGGGTGCACGGCTTTGGGTCAGGGAATAAGGTTAGGGTTAGGGGGTAGGGTAAGGGGGTTGGGGTCTGGAGCTTGTGTTTCGGAGGTAAGCGGGGGAGGGGGGGGGGAGTTCGAATTTCGAATTCAAATGGGGGGAGGTGGAGGGATGGGGTTCGAACGCCCCCCCCTCCTTCGGGAGGGAGGAAGAGGGTGTCCCGGACCCCCCCCCTTGGGGGCATCTAGCGGCGTGCCCTCTGAAATCGAAACACGCAAGGGGAATGCAAGTCCGATGGCGAAATGGGCCGCACCGGAAAGGGCCTCGGCGGGAGGCGGCGGAAGGTCGGCGGGAGCCGGCGGGAGTACATGAGGGCTCCGCTGGCGGCGGCCGGAGGAAGTAAAACACGCCCCCTCCGGGCTCTCCAGCACACTTCGGAGGGTGTCGGCTTTCTCTGCCGTGGTATTATGTGCCGTAGTATTCTGAGAATCTGCTGCGCCGCGACTGCTGTTGCCTTTCATCGAGCTCAATCGCACGACATCCAGCCGAATCTTCCAGGGTGTAGCGCCGGAGAGAAGGAAGTGAAGCATCCTTCTCGAGGGATCTGCAGGGTGTCCGCAGCCGCTATGTGGAGTGTTGCAAGGTGGGGCCATAGCGCGACAGCCCCGCTTCTTATAAACTGTTGAAGATAAGACAAGGAAGACTCCGGAGCAGAAGTTCAGGCGACCTCTCGAGCGAGAGCCCCACCCTGAAAAGAAGCCGTCCTCTGCCCGTGTACGCAACACTGGCGCTGTTCTGGAAGTGCGGTCAAACATGTTGAGGGGTCTCAGAGAGCCGTGTCTGGGCAAGGAGGCGTCCTCCATCCGTGGGCGTGCTGCAGTCAACCGTGATAGTAAGGATGGGGCAACCTTCCAAGGCTACCCCGTGCATTCTTGCCCCTTCGGTATTCGGCATCCTTCGGCATCCTGCTGCGCTCCGCACGGGAAACGTCGACATGGCGTTCCAAGGCCCTCGCATCCTTTCCGCGCATCCTTACTACAGTGAGCGGCTTGAATAAGGAACACTTACTTTTCAAAAGGGGCTCGGTCGTTCCTTAGGTTTACATGCGTTATTTACAGTTCCTTATGCGTGATTTATTATTTATCGTTCCTTATGCGTTATTCCTTGGGATAAAAAAAGGGGCTTCGTTCCTTATTTATGGTTCCTTAGGTCAGGCCGATGACTGTATCCTGGTCCGGTGGACCTCTCACGACGAGCGTGCGCGGCGCCACGGCGAGATCCCTCTGTGGAACACCCGCCGGCCTCCCTCCCTGGACCTCTCGAGCCTGAAAGCGACGAGCGTGCGCGGTGCCGGAGGGTCGGGCCGAACGAACATCAGGAGGGAAAAAACACACAGACACAAAGAATCGTCGATTCCCCAGAAAATATGGGGAAATACGGGAAGTGGGGGGGAAGACAGAAACCCAGAAAATATGGGACACTATGGGGAACATTCTTATTTGTGTGTTTTTATTTGTGTGTCCTGGGGCCCCTTCAGAAAGGGTCGTGGGCGGACAGAGCCCCCAACAGTGACACGTCGATTCGTGAATTGTCCGTTTTCGGTTCTCCAGAGGGCGCCGCGGCCGTCATTTTCCAGGCCTGCGCCCGCCAGGTTTGGGCCTCGGGTCGTTTTCACGAGACCACGCTTTACTAAAGCGGGGTCTGTCTATCCCCGAAGGGGGGAGATAGGGAAAGGGTGGGGCCACGAAAGCTGCTGCCTGCAGCCGGTCTCCGCCCCGCCGCTGGGGCCCTTCCTCGACACATGGGCGCCTCCCGGCGCCGGGAGGCGCGTGGACGGCTGGCTGCGCGAGCGGAGTCTCGACCCTGCCCTGTGCTATCCTGCCCTCTTCGGCCCCCTCCTCCTCCTCCTCCTCCTCCTCCTCCTCCTCCTCCTCCTCCTCCTCCTCCTCCTCCTCCCCTCCTCCTCCTCCTCTCCTCCTCCTCCTCCTCTTCCTCCTCCTCCTCCTCCTCCTCCTCCTCCCCCTCCTCCTCCTCCTCCTCCTCCTCCTCCTCCTCCTCCTCCTCCTCCGCCGTGCACGCGGTGAACCTTGTTTTCAAATGTTCGAGGTCGTGGACGGTGCGGGGGTCGGCGGCGTGACGCCGGGCCCGCCCTGACGACACCTCTGGTGTTAAGTGTTCAATCGTGGTCACAAGTAGTCTGGGGACGATTTTTTTGAGCATGTCTTGAATATTGTTTAAACATTTTTTCGCCCAAGATCCGCCTGCAGGCGGACACGCCCGGCATAAATCTGGTGTTGCGACGAGGAGGACCTGTTCTCAAGGAGGAGGGATCGGGAGCAGGACCACTTCTCATCCTCATGGCTTCGCGCGAAGACGCGACTGCGACCTGTTGTGCTCGTGCGCTCTACCTATCTCGTCGTCGAACAAGCGGTGACAGTGGCATCCGTGGCATGAACAGGGGCTCACCAGGGGAGATGGAAAGAACGGTCAGAGGCTCCCTTCCTCCCTCCTCCTCCTTATCCCTCCCTGGAACCTTCCGAGAAGATCCCAGTCCCCCCTCCTTTTCCTCCCTCCTCTTTCTGATCTTTCTTGCCTTCTCGTCCCTTCTCTCCTTTTTGCCTTCTCACTTCCTCTGGGTCCCGCCTCTCTGGAGGCACAGCAATCCAGATTCCAGTCATCCAGTTTCCTTCCTCTTCCTCCTCCCATCCTCTGCCTCTTCCCCCTCTATTCCGTCCTTCGTCCCACCTTCTCTCCCCCTCACTCCCCAGAAATCGAACGTAGCTTTTTTATACGACGTCGACTCTCGGTGGTTTTAACCCCTTCCCTGGGGCTGAATTTCCAGCCAAGGTAGTCATGAAAAGGCCCTCAGTCCCTGTAAGAGCCCCCAGAGGCAGAATATGTCCGAACACTTCATGCCGTGCTCTTTTTCGCAGCGCGAGGTTGCCTGAGCCCCTCCTCCTCCCACTCCCTCCCTTCCTCCCTCCCTGGTCCTCTGCTCATCCACCCTCTTCCACCTTCTCATCATCCCTGCCCGTGGGTTCGCTCCCTCTTCTCTTGCACGTCCCCCTATCATCGTCCTCTCGTCCTCACCCGTCTCGTCAAACAACTAAAAGTTGGCCAGCGTTGACCCCCAACATTGCTTTTTATTCTAGCAATGTATGTTGTGCAATACATGTGTAGCACTCTATTTGCAACATATGTTATGCGGTGTCTGTTGTACAACCTGTGCTGTGCAGTAAACGTGGTGCGATCTATAAGGTGCAGCCAGTGTTGTGCAGTTTATGTGGAGCAAGCTGTGTGGTGCAGTTTGTGTGGTGCACTTGCTTTCCGTTCGCAGCGAGCTCTCAACCCCACAGCGCGCGCAAGCATCCCACCCACCCACCCGGCACTGTGGGGAAAAAACACGGGGAATAACACACACAAAAACACACAACACACAGTCTGTGTGTTTTTTGTTTGTTTTTTTTTTGTGTGTGTGTTTTTGTGTGTTTGTTTGGTTTGCAAAACCCATAGGGCGGCAGTTGTGATGCGTCTGGCCCGTGGCTGGCGCGTCGTTGCGGCCGGGCGCTGGCGCGCGCAGGCCTCGCGCGCCACGCGGCCAGCAAGTCCGGGCGCGACCGACGCGGCCGCGCCTGGGCTGACAAAGCCTGCTCGCGCCGCCCTCCCCGGCACTCTGACGCCCTCCGCCGCGGGCACGAGTGCACGAGGCCCAAGTACATGAACGATGCCCGGAAGTGGTGTGCGTGCCCACGAACGTGCCCGAGTGTTCGACGTGAGCGGAAAAATTGGTGGATTCTAGAGTTGTTGATGCAGGACGGAGAGTTTGCAGCGGACAGTTTTCGACGCCCAGTTCGAGATTTCCCGCAACGGTGCTGTCATCCTTCTGAGGAACACCCGTGCTGAGATCCGTGAGCAAGAATGACGTAATCTGACGTCCCGAACCCACCTCATGAATTTGGGTTTTCAGTCACGGCGTCCACAGTTTCCTTGTCTGAAGCTTGGCAGCTCTCTGGGTTTGCACGCCCGCTACTCTACCTGTAAGTCTGCTGGGAACCGGGATCACCTGTTTTACATTGTGCATTTCAAACCTGAGAGTGCGCAACATAGCAGTAATACCGCACGACGTGTTGATGCATACATATGTATATATGATGTATATATATATATAGTTATATTCGATGCTTGTGTCCAAACTCGATCACCAAGACCATGTAGCCCGAGAAGTACTTTACCTCCGCCGGCCATTCCGCACCCGCCTTCCCCTGAGTACACCCATCAGCACGATAATTCGGGAGAGCATCATTGATGTCCTTGCGGCGTCGATCTGCGTCAGCTGCCTGAGGGTTACACTGCACAAGTCAAAGACGGCCAGCCATGAGAAGGCTGCGACGCAGTCTCCTCCCATCAGTGCAAGGCAATCGGAGCGAGGCGGTCGGATCACATCCCCACTGCTGGGACACGGGCTGTGTGCTGCTATTTGATCCACATTGCCCTTCTCTCCATCCTCCTCGTCGTCCCCTCCCCTCCCCCCCCGCCCCCTCCCTCCTTCCTCCCAACCCTCCCCCTCTCCCTCCCCCTCCACGCGACCCGCGCGGCCCGAGCGGCGAGGAGGCGGAGGAGGAGGAGGAGGAGCAGGAGGAGGAGCAGGAGGAGGAGGAGGAAGGCTACGAGGGATAGCCTGCTTCTGTTTAGATTCCTAATTCTTATTCTTATTCCTCCTCCTCCTCCTCCTCCTCCTCCTCCTCAGTCTTATCCTCCTCCCATGCGTGCCGAGGCTGAGCTTCTCGGACGGCGGGTCGTGGAGAGGAGGAAGCGTGCGGGGCTCGCTGATGGGTTGGACGAGGAGGAGAAGGAGGAGGAGACCCTCTACCCCTCGGGAAGGTGGCCCTGCACCTGACCGCGCTGCGGCACACGGACCTGGCCAAGTGCGGGCTCGACTTCTGGCGCCGCCGCCGGCCACCGCGCCGCCGCGCCGCCGCGCTCCTCCTCGTCCCCCTCCTCCTCCCCCTCCCCTTCTCCCTCCCTCCTCCTTCCTCGCCCTCCTCCTCCTCCTGCTCCTGCTCCTGCTCCTCCGCCTCCGCTCCTCCTCCTCCTTCTCCTCCGCCTCGCTCCTCCTCCTCCTCCTCCTCCTCCTCCTCCTCCTCTCCCTCCTCCGCCTCCTCCTCCTCCTCCTCCTCCTCCTCCTCCTCCTCCTCCTCCTCCTCCCTCCTCCTCCTCCTCCTCCTCCTCCTCCTCCTCCACAATTACACAATATGAATACTACTCTCCCACTTCCCCTGATGGCGTCCGGAAGATGTTCGGCACCCCCCCGCGTACTGTTTTTTTACACACAGGATTCCCCGGAGTTGGGTTTTCGCTTGTGTTTTTTTTCTAAAATGCTGCTCTCGCTGAGGCGCTGGCCTAATTTTCGGGCTCCCGCTCCTTCCGAATCGTGTTCCCGCTGCAGCGCTGGCCTCATTTCCGCGCTCCCGCTCGTTCCGAATCGTGCTCCCGCTGCAGCGCTGGCCCAATTTCTGCGCCTCTCGTTGTTCCAAAACGTGCTCCCGCTGCAGCGCCGACGTTTTCGATCCTTTTTAAGAAGCCCCAAATCTAGAAAATGATCCCCGGCAAAAACATTGGAGGTGATTACACATCCGGTGTCGATTCGTTGATTTTTGGGGCCGCAGAAAGCCCCCCCCCCTTTTGGGCGGCGTCCTTTTCCGCACAGGATTCCCGGGAGTTTGGTTTTCATCTATGTTTTTGAAAATCCGAGTCTTTCCGGTCCTTCAGAATGTTGCTCCCGCTGCAGCGTTCGTCCTATTTTCCGCGCCGCTGGTCGTTCCAAATCGCGCTGCCGCTGCAGTGCAACGGTCCCCGGCCCCATGCTATGATATGCTCCGCTCCAGTGGCGTTCTTCGGCTCTTCAACAATGGTGCTCCCGCGCGTAACGGCAGCGGGCAGCTGGCGCGGGTGCCGCTCCGGCGCGGTCGCGTCGTCGTCGTCGTCGTCTTCGTCGCCGGTCGTCCTCATCGTCGTCGTCGTCGTCGCCGCCGTCGTCGTCGTCGTCGTGGTCGTCGTCGTCGTCGTCTTCGTCGTCGTCGTCGTCTTCGTTTTCATCGCGCCGTCGTCCTCCTCCTTTCCCTCTTAGGTAACAGGGTCAGATGCGAAGCCCGATTCGGTGAGAGGACAATGAAGTAGCTCAATGGGAAGGGATGGGAGGGAGGGGTAGGATGTCAGATGTTGACGCGAGCGCACCTAGCTTGTCCTCCCCCCCTCCCTCCCCTCTCTTCCCCCCCCCTCCTCCCTCCCCCTCCTTCTTCTCCCCCCCCTTCTCCGCGCCCATCCTCCTCCTCCTCCTCCTCCTCCTCCTCCTCCTCCTCCTCCTCCTCCTCCTCCTCCTCCTCCTCCTCCTCACCAGGCGGCTCGGCGTCCCGAACAGAAGGTCGTGGCGGCGATTTTTTGCCGCCGATTTTTGTTTTTTTGCCCCCCACCCGCCCCCCGAAGGGTTGGCTCTTTTTTTGGTCCGGGTCTCTAGGGGCCGTCGGCAGGGCGGCTCGGGATCTTGTGGAGGCGGCCCTTCAGGGAAGGGGGGCGAGAGGTCCAGAGGCCCGCGCACCA